AATTGACAGGTGGTCACTGTGCGTGAAGTTCATTGTCCTGCTGAGACCTTTACCACAGAGCAATCACTACGCCTTTCTAGTAAAAGAGACACCATTAAAGACAGGAGGCCTGGTGGTGCAGCAGGTTACGCAATGGGCTGCGTACCATGAAGTCGGGAGTTTGAACCCACCAGCCACTCTGTGGGAGAAAGAGGAGGCTTTCTGCTCCCCTAAGATTTATAGCCTTGGAAACACACAGGGATCACTGTGAGTCAGAAATGGCAAGATTTCTTGATTTGTAATTATACTTATTAAAGATGTCCCCCTACCCCTTATCATCAGGAATACTTCCATCTCAGCACTTACCCATCATGTGTGTACTCATCTGGGAGCCTGTCTGCTAACCACTACTCTCCTCTTGCACCCTGTGCATGCGCCTTGTCTTTCTCGGGAGACTGCTGGCCAGAAGGAGCCTTAGAGATGGTCTAATCCAGCTCTCTAATGTGAAAGTAAGACCCAGAGAGGGAAGGGACTTGTCCTACATCACAAAGTGGCATTGCGTTGTTCAGAACAGTACTTCCTGGATTTCAACTCTATTTCCTTCTGATCTCTCTAAATTGTCTTACCAACAAAACAACAAAACACAAACCAACATGTCACATTGTAGCAACATTGGGCACCTAGGGAGCATACGATAAATATGTCATAGTTGAATGGCTTGTGAGGAAATATCATGGAATTGGGCAAAAACATTGCACTTGGAGATTAGTAAAATCTCTGGGCTGGGCTGGGCTCTACAGTCTCCTAGTGGTAAGGGGACTGGCCTCTAAGGTTCCAGTTTAAGCATCCTCAGTAAAAGGCCATGCCAAATCATATGCAGTGCTCACCAGCCTCATGTGTAGCTGTTTACAGTTTGTTAGAATTGAAATGACAATACTTTAAAATTCAATTCCTCAGGTGCCCTAACCAGACTGCAAGAGCTCAACAGATTTATATGGCTAGGGGCTATGGCTTTGGACTGGCAGATAGAGCCATTTCCTGGATTGCACAAAGTTTTCTGGGACAGCACTAGATCAGACCTTGGGTGGTATGTAGAGGAGGGGATATGAGACCAGATTCCTTGTGTGCAGGAGCGTAGAATTTAGTGAGTTTTTGAGGGCACCTGAGAGGCGTTTGCCTGTCCTACCAAGGAGCAACAAATATCCTCGGAAGAGCTTGATTGCTACTCTCACCTTCAAAGAACGTCAATGACTGGAAAATTACATTCCAGCCAAGAATTAGTCCTACTCATTGACCTGGACCAAAAAGGAAATGGAGTGTGTGGGTCTGTTTTGACCCTGTGTTGACCAGGGCTCACTAGAGTACTCAGTTGGCTGGCTATCACATCCTTTTCTCTGTGTGTGTGTGTGTGTGTGTGTGTGTGTGTGTGATCTAGATTCATGAGAGTCTTCATACACAGCTCCAGCCTTCTTGTTAATTACCTCCTGGAGCATTGTTAGTTTGGTACATCATGGGGACTCAATAAGTATCTAAAATGGATGAGAGGATAAACTGAAATGCTGCCTGCAAGTTCCTTATTCTACTCTCCCACTTTTCAGGGAAAATGTACTGGTATCCCACTGCGATTCTGATTTAAATACCACACCACAGGTGGAATATTTCCCAAGGTTTAGTGTCTTCTGGTCTAAAATGAACTGTCTTTAAACTGGATCCTGCTTTCTAAACAACCAGATTGCTCAACTGACTTCACAGAAATTCTTCCTAGGTCCTGAGATGTGGGCACTTGGGGACAGATTTGCTGATTCTATTTTAGAACATACCAAAGACCACCATTCTGATAGTAAATGTGTTATAAATAGGTAGACTTAACACCAAAAAGTTCACCAAGAATTTTTGTCAATAATCATGTCACCCAACAGAGACCTTGAATCATCATATGAGAATCACTTTCAATAAATAGCTTCTCTCACACTGAGGTCTAGTTAAAGGGCAAGAGAGGTAGATAATGAATTTTACTGCATCGCTGTGTGTGCAACTTTATATACATGTGTGTATGTATATCTTGTGTGTGCATTTATGTGTGTGCCATGTGTACTTTTATCTATGTAACTACATGGAGGGTATACATGCAAATAGGTGTGTATGCATGTATAATATGTATGGGGATATTTTGTATTTATTTACTTGTAGTCAGGTGTATGTGTGTTTGCATGAAGATTAGTAGTGGTTTGTGTATATAGCAATGGACAGACAGACTGAATCATCCATGTTGAATGTGGGCAGATGATGTGAAACCTAGCTTAACAAGGGAAGTGTGAGCTAATGAATTTATGATGTTTAGAGCTTAGTTTCCCATGGAAATCATCCTGGGTGAATTCCAAATGGTAACCAGGTAGGAAAACAAGTTTAGACATTGTAGCTATCTGCTTATTACATGACTTAAATTTCTAATGAAAATAACTTTATGGATAATAGGAACCATGTGATTTGGAGATTTAAGAGAGTATTTATGAGAGTACTTTCATGGAAAATGGAATGAATCTGGAATCAAGAGGTTCAAATCATTTTAATACTATTTATGAGTTGTCTGATATTGGGAACATCTCAGCCTAATTTCTCCCCTCCACAGCAAGGTTACAAGTTTAAAAAGTAAATATCATCTGAGAAACTCATTCAGATACATAGGGTGCAAAATGTAATAGTCAACATGAGACTCACAGTAAAGAAAATAAGATCCCATGTCGGAAACCTCATTAACAGCTGCAAAGTTCTATCCAAATATGAATTATTCTTATTTTCTAACCTTGAGCTAACTCATGCTTTTAGGAGATAATAATGGATACTTGGAGCAGAGTCTGAGTTTCTGCATAAAGTGGCCTGTGAGTTCCTCTGGGCCATCGTATTAGCAGTTGTGGGTGTTGGGGTTTCCCATCGACCAGTGGATGAAAGCATTGTCTATCCCCAAAGAAGGATGTTTATGAGATGATAAGATAGGCACCCTCTTTTGTCTATAAAAAAATACAGGGAAACCGACCCGGTTTATCATCCTGTTCAATCCTGGAATTATTTGAGGAGTCAGAGAGTCCAAAGAGACTCTGAGAAGGCACAGGAATTTGAGGAAGGAAGCCGGGGAGTGCAATGGTAAGTGTAGGGACTAGGGTAGATGCCAAGGTACTCCACTCCTTTCAGTTGGTTGGGAGGTGTCCTGGCTACCAGATAGCTCTTCTCTGGAAACACTTATGGTGGGGAGGGGGCAAAAGAGCATGACCTCCCTTTGAAGAACAAATTTCATGCATAAGACGTTAGCCTTTCTCTTTAGAACACTCTCTAAAGAGTACTCCATAAACAATCACAGCTGTGGTCAGTGAACAACATAGGAGGCACTTTGGGCTTTGAGAGAAGATGCTAGGGAGACGCAAGACAGCTCACTCAAGATGTGTGCTCCTGTCTTCTTTTGTCATTAAGTACTGGGAAGAAGGGAGTCAGACAAAGTCAGTTCCTTTTGATTATGCAAACGTACTTAAAATACCCGGCAGCAGAGATAGGTGCCTACAAAATACAATTTAAGCAGGCACTCACTGTCAATGCCTCTAAATTCTCTTCCTAACGTGCCTGGCTTGCCTCTCACTCCTGGCCAGGGCCCGTCTGGTAGACATTTTAAGCAGCAAGCCAGGAGGCACCCTTGGGAAGCCAGGCGGGCACATTTGTGCTTGCTGTCACTACTTGGTCCCTTTCCTCCAGTTCCCTTTAACATCTGCCATCTTGGCCATGAATCTTTCAAAGATATTCTCCCATGGACAAAAACCCATGGTAGAAACTTCTAGTGAACTTTTATGAAGCTGGTTCTATGAAATCACTGTTACAGTCAAGGACATGGAAGGGAGAGAAGACAAGGTTGTGAAAGGGTTGACTTGTTTACCCACAGTCCAATCTTGCTGGAATGCATCATAGGTTCGGACCTTTCTGTAGGGAGTTACTCCTCATTTCTGTGAAGCCCTGATTTCCCTGGGTGGAAGGTGGTATTGGTGGAACTGGGAGACTAGGAGGATGCAGTCAGGACAGTGATGTCCTTCAGACAAGGGGACGAGGCACTAGAGTGCCCCAGGAGCCACAGAGGAGATCTGCCAGGTGAGACTTGGGACTCTACCTGTCAGCCCGGAACCCCCCTGCCCTAGGCAATGAGTGCTGCTGTGCCATCCTCCACAGGCAGATTCATGCCACTGGCGATAGCCACTGCCACTGAGACCATTCCCACTCAAAGTGACCCCAAAGGACAGTGTAGAACTTCCCATAGGGTTTCCCAGGCTGCACATCTTTTCGGAAGCCGACTGCCACCTGTGTTTCCTATGAAGTGGCCCAAGCTTTTGAACCACCTGCCAACCTTTTGGTTAGCAGCCGAATGCTTTAACCACTGCACTGCCAGTGCACCTTTTATGAGATTAGCATCTTGCCAAGAAAACAGTAATCAAAGGCCTTTCTTCGTCTGTTGGCCAGGTAGCTCAGGTGGCCCTCCTCTCACCCCTATTGCATGTTTCCTTCTGGACATCATGTGCTGACTGAACTCCATGCTGTCCATGAATAGTGCCTTACGTTCCCTGAATAAAACCCAGTCACAGGGTTTTAAAAGCAGATTAACATTTACCAATGTCAGTTTGTATTTATGACACTTTTCTCACTTCTAGCCCTAATCAATGGGACACAATCTTTATGTTCCATTATCTTATTCTCCCTACTGTATGGATCAGGAAACAGGCTCAGAGAAAGCAGGACCTTCCCCAGGGCAGCCAACTAGAAAGTGTTGAGTGGGGACCAGAACTCAGCTCTTTGGATTCTGATCCCAGAACTCTTTCTGCCGAGCCCTAGTCCTTCTCCAAACGCCCCCAAAGGGGCCTCCTGCAGAGCAATAATGGGGCTTCCCTTCAACTTAACCCCGATTTTCTATTCTGCTCTATCTTTCCTGAACCCGGTCCCTCCGCATCCACCATTTCCTCTTCTCTATGCCCAAGCAGGTAGGTCCTCACCTGGGTGGTCCAGCTGAGTCACGATTAAGTAGATGGTGAAGTCCAGGAAAGAGCAGTTGCAGTTCCAGGGGTTTCCGCTCAGGTACAGAGTCCTCAGTGCTCCCAGGTGATGGACCGCCTCCAGGTCCAAGATCTGCAAGCCGGTGTTTCTGAGGTCCAGGTACCTTAAAGAGCTGGTGTTGGCGAAGGTGTACTTGTGAAGGTATGCCAGGTGAGGGTTGTTGGAGATGTTGAGCTGCACCAGCTTGCTGAGCACAGAGAAACTGTATGGGGAGATAAAGGTTAGGTTGTTGGTGCTGAGGTCAAGGTAGATGAGTTTGAAGACTCCGATGAAGGTATAATCCATCACCTCACGAATCAAGTTGTTCTGGCAGTCCAAGTAAACAAGGTCGCTGAGGAGACCTAGATTCATGGCTGGCAAGTAGGTGATCCTGTTATTGTCCAGGTACAGCCTCCGCGTGCTCAGGGGTATGTCAGGGGGGTATGCCGTTAACTGTTTTCCTCTGCAGCTCACTTCTTGGATTTGACACTGACAGTTATGTGGACATCTGGTTCCTGATACCAATCCCATTCCAAAGGAAAAGAGTAACCACCTAGGTCCAGGGCCTGAAGCAGGGGACATAGTAAGACGCCGAGACTGCCCTCTGCCACCTTCCTGCGGGCGCTGTCCCTCTGATCAGAAGGCTGGCGAGGGGACAGGGCGGGGGAGGGGTGCTGGAAAGAACAGTAACACTCTAGCTTTGTGCAAAGCAATTTTCCATTACAGGAGAACCGAACAGAAGTTGAAACGCGAGGCCTGATGCCCGGCCGCCAGGCTCGGTGGCTCTGCCGATTGCTCCCTCCCAGACTGCTGCTGGAAGCTCGCCGACTTGGCAGCTTTGAAAGGACTCACCCTTTCCCCGTGTTACAAGTGAAGGGGAGCCAGGGGAGAGCCACATGACAATGAGGCTGCCAGGTGACACCTTTGTGATGTCAGCAGCCTCCTCGGAGACGCCTGGCCAGGGAAAGAAGGTGCTTGCCTCTGCCTTCGGGGTGGTGTGGGGGTGTTTTATGTATCCCGGTAAGCTGCCTGTACCTGGGGGAACTGGGTATCTTGGGTAGGGGGGCTGCAGCATGTGTTTAGGGGCGCTGGGGGGGGGCTGCCTGAGCTCCTAGTGTGTGTGAATGATCATGGTCTGCTGGGGTTGTCTGTATCAACTGCACCGGGTAGAGCAGAGGTTAGGTTAGGTTAGATGGGACTTCCCACCCCCGCCCCCCTCTCCTGCCAATCTGTTGATGTAGAGGGAATTGGGGAGTCTAGGTCAACTCCTGACCGTACTGATGAGTGAAGCGGTTTTCTCCCAGTCAGTTCTCAGCGTGGGTTTTCTTGAGCGTTGAATTTGCATGGGTGACCTTTTTCAATGTTTTCTAGAGACGTTAGACAAGGGGGCTTCTTATGTAATAAAGCAAGAGGAATGCCTCTTGTTATTTACAAGTTTTAAATGTTATTTCTAGGTTACATACATCCCTGTCTGCATTTGGACTATATCTGTGCACTGGTACTTTCTAAGTGAGTTTTATCATGCGAATTAGGTGAAGGTCATGCAGCAGATCATAGATTTACATTCAACACCCCACCCACAGTCTAATTCAACTCATCCCTTGCAATGTACTAGTGGCTTTTGAAAAACTTCTGGACAAGGATAAGCTACCCCCTCTCTTTTCTCACCCTTCCCCTCCCCAAATCAAATCAAACCTAAATGCATTAAAAAATCAGGGACCAATAACATGAAATTCATATTTATGTTCTTCTGTGACTTCACGAAAGGCAGTGAGTGCCACTGTAACGCTAGTGTGAGTCTATTCATTAACTACATGACATGACGATGGATGGGAGAGGGGGCATTTGGGGGGAGGGCTGGGAAGTCTGGACACTTAAGAGTTAGGATATTTCATCCATTCCATGGAGGAAGGCACATTAAGGCAGAAATGAAGGTCAAGCATCTCAGCCTGCTTGTATATTTTTTGGAAAACACAGCCCTCCTTCTTTAAGACGTTTATACACAACTTAACTATGCATATCTAGAAAATAAGAGGCCCATATTTGATTCCACATTGAGCCTGGCACCTGGTATGTAATAAATATTTAGTAAACGGATGATGCGTGAATGCCTGCTCCCTTTCCCTTGCTTCTCTGCCAAGAGATAAATTAATAAACTCAAGTGGGTTTTGTGGTTAGTTAGCTAATGTTTGATTATGTTTACTCACTCAGCATTTCTGGGGTGACTGGTCATGATTAATAAGATGACTTAGGAGTGTGTACCAAATTGAAAGTGACCTTATTTAAGTTGAAATTTTAAATGCTCCAAGCAATGACCCAGATGAAAGGGTAGTCGTGCTAATTTAAACGGAATTTTATTGATGGGGAAGCCACCCTTTCCTGATAATTAATTGATTGAAAAAAAAAAGAATTGTTCTGAAAAGAAGCTTCCTGGTGAGATCTTCTGGGACTGCCCAGGGGAGGATATCTGTAGAAGAGAATTACTTTCAAGTGTGACCACTTCCCGTGGCAGCTGGGGTGAGGGTGTGGCAGGAAAGCGCTGTTTGGAATGGGGTGATCACTGACTAACCCGCATTGACTTGACTCCTTGCCCACCTTTCCTTATACCCTGTGGCTCCCCCTTTCGGACTCTTCCTTTCCTCCAGGAGCCAGGGACTCCAGTCTGTCCCCATTTGATTTGCAGCCTCCTTTCCGTTGCCTGGATGGGACTCCGCCACAAACCAACAGGCTGGTGGCTCCAATCTGCCCAGTGTCCCTCAGAAGAAAGGCCTGGCAACCTCCTTATGAAGATGACCTGCTCCAACCCAAACAAACCGACCCAACTCACTGCCATCTGACTCACTGCAGCCCTAGGTAGGGCTTCTGAGGCTGTACGGCTGGCTTCATGGGAGCAGAAAACCTCATCTTTCTCCCAGGGAGCGAGCTGCTCGCCTTGAGGTTAGCCGCCCAGAGTGACCTCAGACTGCTTCTGTGAGCTCGTGGCCAATGGAAACTCTGTAAAGTGCAAATTGATTCTGACACACATGGCTCTGCACCGACATCCCAGGAGATTCAGGACAGAGTTGATGGCGGTGGATTTTTAGGTTTATCTGGACTTTCTCCAGACAGGAGCCTCAGGTTCAGGCTCATGCTGGTGGGCTTGGCAAGTTACGAGCGTGTTCTCTCTCTCTCTCACAGAACAACCTCAGATGTGCCACTTATGCTGACCCCCCCCCCCAAGTCTGCTCCGTCCTTCCCTTACTCTGGTACCACAATTTTAACAAAACATCCTCAACAGTTAACCTCCCAGAATAGTAAAGGTTTTAACAGTTTTATTGACATATAATTCACATACTATACAGTTCAATGGCATAAACATATTAAAAAGAGTTATGGCATCATTCCCCCAGTTTCAGAACACTTTCTTCCTTCTTGTACTCATTGCGATTAATTTCCCATTTCCCAACCTCCCTGTCCGAACCCTAAGAAACGATTAGTTAGGTTACTCTCTATGATCCTGGATTTCATAGAAAGAAAATCTTACACCCCGGCCCACCCCACCCCTCCTCAGCCCAACAACGATCACAAAGTAAAACACAGAAAAACCTCAATGGCAAAGAAAACAGAACATTACAAAATCTAGAACAAATGTACAATGGGCCCAGGGGTGTGTGTGTTAAAGTTGAACGTAACCATATCTGCATGAATCCACTTTGCACGGCACTCCATCTGGTAGCAAAGGCTATCCACGTCCCTCCCTCGTCCATGGTCAGAGGGGAGTCTCTGGAGGTTTCGTTAGGTAGGGGGACCCAGCAAACACATTTTGGGCTTTCACTGTCCTCCACAGCCATCTGTAAACCAGGTGCTCAGAATTTTAGCTTAGCTACAGTTCCCTCCTCTGGTCAAGTAATATTTTTAATGCTTGAGGTTGCTGTGTATTTTTGATCCTGAAATCGAACATCCACTAACCTAACCAGGCAAAGATAGCTTCAGCTTTGCCAGGTTAGGTCAGAACCCTAAAATATATTCATCATTTGGGGACCGAGTCTGAAGGGGGCTTCAAACATTCATAGAAAAATTCCATTATATTTCAAGTCCAATTTCCGGTGAACTTTTTGACATTGCCTTGGTCAATAGAGAGTGGGAAAAATACAGCATTTCCAAAATTACCTGATCCTCCAAAACTCCCCTCCACTCTGGGGGATTATCTTGTGAAACCAGTGCCCCAGGCACCCTACTCTGGAAAGATCTAGATAGACTAGGGTGCCTGCTTTTGGATGAGTGGGCCTTGTTTTTCTCATCTACATACTGAGGGAGGTGAACTAGACAATTTCCAAGTTTCCATAAGCTTTCTAAACTTCTTCATAATGCAAAGAACTCAAGCACCCCTTGTGGAAGGCCAGTTAGGGGAAGGCTCTTGGGGTCGAACGGAGAACCCTCCTATTCTTTCTAATTATACCAGGCTGCTCGCTTACTTGGGTGTCCAGGTGATGGATCATCCTCCCAGCAGCACAGGTGGGGTGTCAGCTGAGTTTACTGAGAGGCCCTTTGTATCAGTATCATCTCTGTAGCCAACACTGCTCTTGGGAAGGGACCTCTTTTTAACTGTCTGACTGCGACACTGCCATCCCAGCTACATGACTCCTCGTAGGGGCCAGCACACATCGAAACAGAACTGTCGGGGAGCCACAGGACAGCGGGCACAGGCTTGGATGTTCTCAAAGGAAAAGGCTGGCGGCATAGCTCACAAGGGGACACAATTGGGACGGGCATCCAAGCTCTGTCATTTGTCAGGTAGTGTGACATCATGACCTCTCTGAGGGCCCTCCACTACGTCAGTCAGCACAGGGAGAGGACAAGGACCTGATGCTTTTAAGGACCAAGCAAGAGAGGCAGAGATGGAAGTGACCGCGCAGGGCTTGACGCAGTGAGAGGTGCCCAGAGATGATAGCTATTAAGCGTTCTACGCAGAGGCCTGGGTGCCTGTGGTATGGGGAGTTTATTTCTGATAGACTTTTATTTGAGCAGGAGGAAAGCAGCTAGTGTGCTCAGCCCCGCAGGAATTCACTGGGGTTGACAGCCTAAGACCAGCCGTGCTCCCAGTCAGGGAATGTGGATTCAGGTCCCTGGAGTGTCAGAATTTCAAGGACTTTGGTGTAGGAGCTGCTTCTGGGATCCAAATCAGTCCAGTCCTGGACTTTGCCTGGGTCTCCTCCAGCGAGGTCACTTCACTGGGTGTGGGACAAGGGGCAAGTCCCAGGAGAAGCAGCTTAAAATGAACAAGGTCAGCCTAGAGGTGGGGGAAAAAAGTTCCCAAACATGCTGAGAGGTCAGGGCTTAAGGGTTGAGTATCTATCTATTTGTGTCTATATCTATATGTGATCCTTGGGTCTTTTTTTAGGACCAGCTGGTGCGAACTATTTTTGTCTTTTCCCTTCAGGCTGCCTGCCCCTGCTCAAGTGCAGGCGGAGGAGAGCACTCCAATTCCTTGTGCTCCTTAGGGAGCCCTTGGTGTTCACGCTGCATCTACAGTACAGGCTTCTGCGGCAACCGGGATCCAGGGGAACCCAAGGGGGAGCCTGGAAATGGCTTACAGATTTTGGGGGG